CTGTCTAGACTGGTGCTTTTTTCCGGCAAAGCCCCGAGCTGGAAAAAAGCGGCAGCCATGTTCATGCAAATGCCGCGGGGAAAATTTAAATCCCTGCGGCATTTGCAATTCTGAAGTGTCTCATTAGCATCCCTTTTCCGGAAAGGGGTGCCAATGTAGACACAGCCGCAGTGTAATTCCTTAGTGCTTAGGAGAACTGAGTTCTATTCCCAGTTTTGCCACATACTTTCTGTACAATCTTGGGTTAGAAGTCTGTGCCTTTGTTTCCCCATCTGCAAATCTGAGCTAATACTACTTGTCCCCATGTGTAAACACTTGGGGTATGTCTACACTACCCCGCTAGTTCGAACTAGCGGGGTAATGTATGCATACCGCACTTGCTAATGAAGCCCGGGATTTGAATTTCCCGGGCTTCATTAGCATAAGCGGGGAGCCGCCATTTTTAAATCCCCGCTGCTTCGAACCCCGTGTAGCGCGGCTACACGGGGCTCGAACTAGGTAGTTCGGACTAGGGTGCCTATTCCGAACTACCGGTACACCTCGTTTCACGAGGAGTACCGGTAGTTCGGAATAGGACCCTAGTCCGAACTACCTAGTTCGAGCCCCGTGTAGCCGCGCTACACGGGGTTCGAAGCAGCGGGGATTTAAAAATGGCGGCTCCCCGCTTATGCTAATGAAGCCCGGGAAATTCAAATCCCGGGCTTCATTAGCAAGTGCGGTATGCATACATTACCCTCCTAGTTCGAACTAGGAGGGTAGTGTAGACATACCCTTAGCTCCATGGCTGAAAAGCACTGTTTAGTGGCCTTGTACCATCATTATTATTTTATAATTAATTGTGTGTAATAGAAACAGCTGCGTAAAATCCCTGTCAACTAGATGCACAACTGAGTAAATGTTAGGTGTGATGTTCCAAAACTGAGCTATATATGTCCCATCAAGTCATCTCTGCTCATCTTTCTGAAAATGGACTCCCCATGCCTGAGACACCCCCTCATTGTGTGTCCAGTCTCATCTCTCTAAGGGGGTATCTCTGATTTTAAACAAAATGTAGCTATCTTCTGAGTCCTGCCTTTATCCTGCTGTTTAGAATTGAGCCTGTTTATGTCCCAACTATTGTTTCATGTTTGTAGGAGCTTTTCTGAAGGTTCCTCCTGGATCCCTCGCCCTGGGCCTGGGCATGTATTGTGTCTCTGTATTTGTATTTGGTTCCTCTACAAAATAGCAATGGTGGGATTTGAAAAAGCTCTCGGCCTTGGCCTAACCCTACTCCAATTGAAGTTGGTGGAAACTTTAACATTGACTTCAATGGGAGCAGAGATAAGCCAGTATTCACCTCGTAAAATCTTGCCATAAAACTTTGCCATGCCATTTCACACTAACATTGCCTATAGATGCTGTTGTCTTTCCCTCTCTGCAGTAACGTGGTTGGTCCTCAGTGAGATCTATCCTGCTGGAATAAGAGGAAGGGCCTTTTCCTTCTGCAACAGCTTTAACTGGGCTGCTAATTTACTGATCAGCCTCTCGTTCCTTGATCTTATTGGTAGGTATAGTCCTCATTTCCTGTTTCCCTTTCCCGATGCAGTCCAACCACCCTTTGGTTCTCTACTGTTGGGTTACTAAAGTCAGCCAGGCTGCCAACGTGGCCACAGTATGCTGTGTGGGGATTGGGCATCATTTCAGGCTAGTAGGAGTCAGGTACTACAGTGGGCACAATCTATGTGTGAATGTGTGAAGAACTCACTCTGGTACATCCACACTGCACACTTATTTCGGAACAAGCTATTCCAAAAGATATATTCCGAAATAGCTTATTTTGAAATAGAACGTCCACATTACAGGGAAGTCTCAAAATTAGTCCGAGGCAAGCTCCCCTAATGTGGATGCACTATCCTGGTTTAGAGCCCCAGGAAGCGCTAGGGAGAAATTCCTTAGAATGGCCCTGGTGAGGAGCTATTTCGAAACAGCAGCAGTGGAGCGTCCACACTGCATCTATTTTGAAATAGCTATTTTGGAAAAGGAGTTATTCCTTGTGGAATGAGGTTTACAGAAGTTGGAATAAGCCACTGGTTATTTTGATATTATTTTGAAATAACGGAATTGCTGTGTAGATGCTTGCATTGTTATGGTGCAGAGTTGATGCACCTTTTGTGTGTAACTCTGTAATCAAGGCTAGAGCTAAGCCCCTCCTGTACTGCAGAGCATAGATCTACTAGGGGAAGGCACCATTGTTCCCTTGAAGATTTTCCATCCTTGGGTGGGTTGAAATTTCTTATGTGTGTAACCCCTCCTGTTGGCTAGCCCAGTGGGAGGTTATTCAGCATAGGGGAAGCTTGTGACTTCTTACACCACTGTGGGGGTAGGGCTGGGCCTGAGGCTGCTTGGTGTGCTCTGCGTTGTGTATGTGTGAGTGCACCTCAGACCAGACCCACTCCGACAAATCACCAGGAACAGGCTTTATTCTGTAAAAAACATAGAACAGGAAAACAGTTCAGCAGCCCCTTCTCTCAGCATGCAGCCTGTGTGCTGCTTCTAGCACAGTCCTTGCTGAGACCCTGCTGGGGGTAGAGGGCACATCCTGACAGGAACCAAGAAATTCTCCCAACATGCCGTAGTTTGTAGTCCACAACTTGTAGTTCCCAGGGCTGCTGCTGAAACACACTGGACCTTGGGCTACATGTGCAACACCAATATTGAGGTAGAGTGTGGATGTGCACCCATCAGTATAAACAAAAACCATAGATATAAATATATATTTTAAACAGTCCATAGGTGTGGAAGAAAATATATTAAAACAAGGGATAATTAACAAGGAGCAATGCTTATGATTAATATGAAATCAAATAAAAAGAAAATGTTTACCCTTGGCTGAAGAAGTGGGTTGTGCCCACCAAAGCTCATGATACTATTTATATATTTTTGTTAGACTAAGGTGATACAGGACCATTGTTGTTTTTTTAGTTACAGACTAACACGGCTACACCTATGAGACCTTGGAGTACATGTATCATCATCTTTTCTAACAGACAGATGCATGTTTCAAAGATCTTGCAAATAAGGTTTCATCCTACAAAACAGCTAGCATCATACCAGTACTTGCTGATTCTGACTCATAAGAGCCAGAATTCTACCAGATAGCAAAGATCTGGTTTTAATGCAATACATTTTACCATGTATTAATTAGTAACACAGGATTTTAAAAAAATAATAATAAAGATCAGAGTTTTAGATATCTGCAACACTTCAAAAAATCTGTTAAAAGAATCTTTTTCTTTCTTACCTCAAGCCATTAACACAGAGGTGGGCAATAATTTTTGATTGGGGGGGCACTCCAAGTATTTGATAAGTGGTCGAGGGCCACACTCTTCCATTATATTAATGGAGGAAATGTGGAGGTCTGGGATGGAGATTGAATGCAGAAGGGAGCTGGGGGAAGGGATTGGGATGTGGGATCTGGGAGGGAGTTTGGGTGAAGGAGGGGATCGTGCCCTGGGGCAACAGACTTGAGTGAGGAGGGGTTACAGGGCCTGGGAAGGGGTTGTGACCTGGGGCAGGAGTGCAGGAGGGGATGCAGGGATTTGGGCTATGACCAGAGATAGTGGATTGGAGTGCAAGGTCTGAGAGAGGGCTGTGACCTGAGGAGGGGTGTAGGAGTTGATCCAGTATCTGGGGAGGTGTATGGGAGCTGGAGGAGGGGTGCTGAAGGTTTGGGTTAGGTAGGGTAGGAGGGCAGAAGGGGGGCAGAGGGTTGGTGGGAGGGAGTGGCTGGGGTGCCGGAGACCTTACCAGGCTTCCAGCCAACAGCCCAGCAGGATCCTTAGTCAGGGTCCCTGCCTTCCAACTCCTGTACATGCTCAGGGGAGCAGCAGGAGCCATGTTTACTGCTCTAAACTGAATGCTGTGAGCCCGAGGGGGGAGGGGGCACTTCACATGCTGCCAGTCCTGCAAACAGGATTGACTGGGCCCTCAAATGTGAACAAGCATAGTGCCAAAATTCTCTCGGATCTGTTTGAAGATGGCTCACACATCCCCAGAAGTGAGTTCTTGATGATAAATCCCACATCATCCTCTCTCCTGCACTTTTGCTCTCCTAGAAAAATGTGTATTCTTTTGACATTAGCCATGTTTCTTGGAGGGATACGATATCCACAGTGAGACATTTCATTTCATCATCAGTCATGGCATTTTTACGTGTATTGTTGATCTGTTGAAGGTCCTCAGATAATCCAGTTGTCATGGTGTGAATGTTCCAATGTGCTCTCTTTAAGGATGTTTGATTTCTTTTACTTGGTTTGCCTGGTCATTGGTTACAGTTGACTTCTCAAGTTATAAAACTCTTAGCTCCAACCACCCATTAAAGCAGGGAGACTGTGGCAGGACAACACCCTATTGTCTGGGGGTGCTGAGTTTCATGGCGGGTGGAGGTTGTCCAATGAGATACAATGATCTCTCCCACTGTCAGAGACAGACCCTGGCACTCAACTCTATGCCAGTTGAATAAGAGTTTAGAATTGGTGACTGCTATCTGCCATATTGTATTGGCACTTGAGGAAAAACTGGAATACCTCTCCAGGGCACAAGCTAATGCATGGGCAAATGATATGGAGACCATTAGTTGCCCATGCATTAGGGCCCCCTTCTTGGCATCACCAGTAAAATCCAGAGGAGAGGAAGAACCAATACATCTTGTACCTGAGCTGCCACAGGAGTTGCCAGAAGGATACTAAATGTTAGTACTAACCACCTTTGGGGCTCCACTCCAGATTTTCTGAGTGTTCTCTCACAGCCTTGCATTCTCCCAAATTCACCCATAAGGCTTTTCTGTCAGGGGTTGCTCCCTTAGCTCCCTCAGCTGCACTGAGAAGGTCAATGGGGATACTGCACAGTCTCTGGAGCTGAGATTAATTCTTGCTTTTTGTCCAGCTCTGGCAGGCAAGACTAGGATGTCAGTAGTTTAGAGTTGTGAGCGGTCTTTCTCATTGACTGATTCACAATCCAGGCCTTGTGTGTGTTCCCCGGATATATTTTATAGGCTCCTTTGAGGACAATGGCCCTACATAACACAAGTGATGTTTGGTCAAGATACCCACTTGCTTCAAATTCCAAAGGATATGCAATGAAAATGGTGCTGATTTTTGTTAACCCTTCACTCTTTTGAACCTGTTTCTGTTTAGATGCCATTGGCTTGTCATGGATGTTTCTTCTCTATGGATTAGTGGGAGTGACAGCTGTTATATTTATTTATCTTTTTGTTCCGGAAACTAAAGGACAATCCCTAGAGGAGATAGACCAGCAGTTCTCACAGAAACGGTATGTGTGCTATGGTGCAGGCTCTTTCCCCAGGTCAAAGGGCCCCATCCTATGATGTTAGTTGGGGATCTCTGTAAAATACATAAAGGATCAGACCTCCAGTTATTCATCCAAAAAATAACTATTCTGTGTTACTATGGACACGTCTACACTACAAAATTATGTCAACTTAAGTTACGTCGGCATACAGTCACCTTAGTAATTAAATCACTTTTGCATGTCCACACTGCGTTCCTTGCATTAGCAATGCACGTCCTCGCCAGGAATGCTTGTGCCAATTTAACTGTCAGTGTGGGGCATTGTGGGATGGTTTCCAAAAGCCAATAACAGTCGATGTAAGCAACACAGTATCTACACTGACACTCCATCAACCTAACTAAATCAACGTTAACTTTATGTCTCTCATGGAGGTAGAGTTGTTAAGTCAGGGTAGTGGGGCATTTACATCGGCAGGGGCTAAATTCTGGTGTGGAGTAGACAATTCCATAGTCAAGTTGATGGAAGACATCTTACATCAACATAACTGTAGTATAGACTAGGCCTCAATTCTGAATGGGATCATCCACACCAATGTTTAATGCAGTTTAACCAACCCAATACAAATCACACCTCTAATTAGCTTGGGTTAGCTTTCCTGAATATTCCTGTATAAACAAGTCCATAGACTTATGGCTGACCAGCAAAATGTCAAAATCCTAACAATCTACATGGCCTCAGTAGTAGAGAGGAAAATGGATTTGTGCAGTTTCATTATTTGTACTTGACTCAGCACTCAGACTGAGTCTAGGATGGACGCTTTCCCCTACTTATTCTCAGACACAATTACTGTAGCAGGGTGTGACCAGTCAGGGGTGAGGTGCATTAATAGACTTGGGAGGAAATGGGGATGGAATTGCAGAGGTTGCTTCACTTTTAGGCCTTCTCTGCACTATGCAGTGGATCGAGGCTGCAGCGATCGGTCTGCCAACCATCAATTTATTTTGTCTGCTTAGGTGCAATAAATTGACCCCCAAGTGCACTCCTGTTGATGCCAGTACTCCACTAAGATGAGAAGAGTAGCCAGCGTCAATGGGAGAGTAGCCCCCGCCTTACCACACACAAGATGCCACAGTGAGAATGTCGACTTCAGCTGCGCTATTTGCACAGATGAAGTAGATCAACGGCACCATTTAGGGTATGTCTAGACTACATGGCTCCGTCGACGGAGCCATGTAGATTTGTTGTTTTGGCAAAGGCAAATGAAGCCACGATTTAAATGATCGCGGCTTCATTTACATTTACATGGCTGCCGCGCTGAGCCGACAAACAGCTGATCAGCTGTTTGTCAGCTCGCGCACTAGTCTGGATGCTTCCGTGCCGACATCAAAGCCCTTTGTCGGCAGCCCCGTTATTCCTCATGGGATGAGGTTTACCGGAGCTGCCGACAAAGGGCTTTGATGTCGGCACGGAAGCATCCAGACTAGTGCGCGAGCTGACAAACAGCTGATCAGCTGTTTGTCGGCTCAGCGCGGCAGCCATGTAAATGTAAATGAAGCCGCGATCATTTAAATCGTGGCTTCATTTGCCTTTGCCTATGTGTCTAATCTACATGCCTCTGCCGACAGAGGCATGTAGTCTAGACACAGCCTTAGTGTAGACAACCAACTATGTGTGAAGCCCAGGGTTGCACTAGAGGGCATCACAGATCAGGATTGAAAGGCATTGCAAGAGATGCAGAGGAAGGACATTAATTTACTATTTATACCTTCCTTATAAATTAGGAGAGTTGTGGATTTAAGGCCAGGAGGGACCATCTAGTCTGTCCTCCAGCACTGGCGGCCCGTCAATACAGGCAAACTAAGCAGTTGCCTAATACGCCAAGATAAATGGCTGTTGAGGGCTTTGGAGGCGAGGGCGCAGATCGCGCGTTTCGCCTTGGGTGCCAGTTGTCGGCAGCTCATCTAGGGCCACTCCGGTCCTCCAGTGTAATACAGGCCATAGCTTTTTCACCCAGCGATTCCTACATCAAGCCCCTAACTCTGGTTGAGCTAAAGCATGTCTTTTAGGACCATGCCAAGGAAGGATTCTGTCTCCACTGCGAAGAAGAAAAGTAAACACTAAAACACTGACAACAGTAGCTGCTCCTGGTTGACTTTGGTCATTGTCTGGCAGGTTGTGGAAAGGAAACACATTCGGAAGAAGATTTGGAAGAGGAGGAAATTTTGCACATGCTCAGTACCAAAGGGTAGAGCACTCCAGCATCTCCTGAAACAAACCACCTGCAGGGAGTGTCACTGTCAGGAAATAAACATCTACATTGGCATCCCTTTCCGGAAAAGGGATGCTAATGAGAGGAGTCGGAATTGCAAATCCGTGGGGGATTTCAATATGCCCCGCGGCATTTGCATTTACATGGCTGCTGCTTTTTTCCGGCTTGGGGATAAGCGGGAGAAAAGCGCCAGTCTAAACGTGATTCTCCGGAAAATAAGCCCTTTTCCGGACAATTTCCGGAATTCAAGTAGGAATAAGAAATCCTCCGGAAAAGGGCTTATTTTCCAGAGAATCACGTCTAGACTGGCGCTTTTCTCCGGCTTATCCCCAAGCCGGAAAAAAGCGGCAGCCATGTAAATGCAAATGCCGCGGGGGATATTTAAATCCCCTGCGGAATTTGCAATTCCGAAGTCTACATTAGCATCCCTTTTCCGGAAAGGGGTGCCTATGTAGACACAGCCGATCTGTGTCAGCAAGAGATTTATTGGGGATGATCTTCAATATAAGACAATCACTGGCTCGAAGATAAAAGCCCTGGCACAATAAGCCAGTGCACTGAACTCACTGCAGTGCCTTGAGACACAGATGTTACAGTGAGACAGCGATGCTATAGATTGTATCCATATATACACACACGCTATATTTATAGACAATAGCATTCTTGACACTGAAGAGGGACCATCTCATTGCTTTGGTGTTTTTTATTATTATTATTTAAGAGGTTGGGATCTCCCACTGTTTGTTGAATTGATGTTTTTTGCATTTGAGAAATAAATCACAACTTATGCCAGGAAGTCCTGATTCTGTCTCTGTATTATCTTTGCACAAAATATTTATTGTTCTAATTAATAGGCTTGCTTTTTCATTTCTTATGCACAGACTTTTTCATGAAGATTTAACAGTTGTATGACATGTACTTCATTTTGTAACTTTCGAGCAGTGCCACGGAAACTGCCAGATAATCTAAATAACTTCCCTGACCGAATAGAGAGATCTATGCAACCAATCCTAGCTAGTCCACAGGGATATGGGGTAATAGTTTCCCAAAATGTAAGGGACACAGTTTCTAAGTAGCCACCTCCCAACCTGATTCCACAAGCTTTACCCCTATGCAAGTAGGTATTTGTTTGCTCAAATAGACACGGAGATGCATATTTCCCCATTTTGCACACAAAGAGGCTCTTTTGCCTGCATGAACATGGGTTTTACTTGCACAAAAATTTGTAGGTGTGCAGTTTTCAGACACTTTGAAAATTTGGCCCCAAATCCTGTTTTTGCTTATTCATTTTATGCATAACTAGAAGTCAGGGGATGGGACAGAGTGGAGGGGAGCACACCCTACCCGCTGGCACTCCCCAGGGGCAAGCCAAGACAGCAGGGGTCACACAGGCCACCCCACCGGCACTCCCCAGGTAAGCCCAGGGCGTCAGGGACCACATGGCGGCTGGCAGGTGCTCCCCGGCTCAGGCCAGGACAGCAGATGCCATGCTGCCTTCCAGTGACTGCTCACTGGGATGCTTGCTGCTCCCTGGTGGTCATTCATAAATATAATTGTCCCTGCTATCACACTCCTTCTCTTTCTGTTTGATATGAAACAATCCCATTCCAGGCATATCCCATTAACCTGGCACAACCAAACCCTGAAGCTGCATCCCGAATGTGCTGTTTAGGAGGAGTTCTTGAACAAACAGACTCACAGATGGACAGATGCACATTTCTAACCTATATAGAAAGATTTTCTAAATGAGCCCCTTTCAAACAGTCTCCCAAGCACGTGTATGTCATTCAAAATGACACCACTAACTGATGCCACAATCACTTCCTCTGGCAAAAGTCTGTGACTTGAGCTCTGTTGGAGCAGTGGAGGAAACAAGTCCCAAGCTTCAGTGCTGAGAATGAAAACCATCGGGCAGCTCTGTAGTAACTCATAAGAACATAAGAACTCGTGATGTCACCATCTGCCAATTGTTCAGCAGCCTGTATGCAATGAGTTTGATGGGTCTCAGCCCAGCTGCCAGTGGAGAGGGGGCCACGACAGCAAAACTGCCAGCACAGTTGCTACTCCCCTTGTGTGTGTCCACAGAGAGGGGGAGGGTCACATGGGCTGGAATTCCTTCACTGCTTGTACTATTGACCATTCCTCTTCCCTCAAGGGACCACCCCGTTAATAGGGATGCTTCATTATTTCTGACTTTCACATTCTCTTTTCACCTTGTGCTGGTGGTGATCAGACAGTAGGTTCAGCCCTTACGCTGCCCAGTGGGGGGTTCAGTGCAGTTCAGTGATGACAGGCCAGTTCACTTTTCTTTGCTGTGTTCATCATCGTGAACAGATGGCTAATGGGAAGCAGGTCCCCATGCCAGCAGGATCAGTGCAGAAGTAGAAAAAGGGCAGAGAGTTATGAAATAGTCCTTTGCTCCGTAGCCAGCCTCCATCCTGGGGAATTAGAGGCACTTACTCTAGCCTCAGTGTCTCTAGCTGATTAATCATTCATGCAGCCATTGCCCCCCCCCCCATTTGAGACACCTCGGCCTTGTCATTCAATGTCCATTATTCAAATCCATCCCAAAAGCCCACTTCTACCACCATACTAGAAACTAGCAGGCTGTTACCACGAGTGTGGAGTTATTAGGGATCATCCATCTCTTTGCTAACAAAAGCTCACCAGTCTCGATTATAACGCCTTTGAACTATCAAGACATAGCCCATCACTCTCAGGGTTCCTGGCTCAATTGCATGTCGTGCCCCTTCTCTAAGCCTCCATCCCAGCATCTGCTAGCTACTATTTTAGTTGTAAATTCTTTAGGGAGAGGATGGGCCTTCTCTTACGTTAGGGAAGCACTAGCATGCAGTCATGCTAATGAAGATGAACTAGTCATCGCTTCATTAAAACTGTTGCAAAGTAGGAATGAAGCAGGGTCTCCCACCAACCATGCTCCTCCTTTGGCTGGCAGGAAATATTGGGGCATATCACATTACATGTTGCACTTTGGTTTGCTGGAAAAAATAAACTAGGCTTTTCCAGATGGCAAAACCACAGTTCTCCAAATTGTTTCATTGAATTCCACTAGGTAACAGGACCTTACATTTGTCATTGGGACTCCAGGACAGAAGAGAGAGAGAGAGAATGAGCGTGTATCCAAGGAAGGACAGCAGACATTTATAATCTTTAAGGGCACATCTACACTGGGAAACTATTTCAAAATAACTATTTCAAAAAAGCACATCCACACTATGGGGAAGCCTCAAAATTAGTCCAAGGCAGGATCCCTTAATGTGGACACTACCTTGATTTAGAGCCCCAGGAAGCAATGGGGAGTAAGTACTTTGAATGACTCCGGGGAGTAATAATTTCGAAATAGCAACAGAAGAGCCTCCACACTACTGCTATTTTGAAATAATTATTTTGAAACAAGCACTATTCCTCATGGAAAGCAGGAGTTATTTCAAAATAACCAGCCCGCTATTTCAGAACAACAGACTTGGTAGCGTGGGCGTGCTGCTTGTTATTTTGAAATAACACCCTTGTGTAGACCAGGGCTAACTGAGCATCTGAAGTCAAAGGATTTTGTAGGACAGAGCCTTCCCAGCATCTCCCCATAAGTAGGATTGGAACTAGGGACTTTCTTTTTCAAAACCTTTGAGCCCAGCTTGTCAGATAACAGTTATAGATTTCAGGCTCACCAACAATGGAGGAGGGCAAAGGGGGCATTCACCATTCAAAAGGGCCCAGGCTTCTTGGCTGCTGCCGCGGCTTCAAGCAACAGCAGCCAGAGCCCCAGGCCCTTTAAATCGGTGCTGGAGCACCATGTAGCACGCTCCAGGCAGTACTAAGGGCTGTTGGGGGGAGGAGGGGTGCACTCCAGGCAGTACTAAGGGCTGGTGAGGGTGGGGGGGGGGAGATACATACCAGGCAGTGCTGAGGGCTGGCTGCCAGAGCCCTTGTCCCTTCCGCCCAAGGCCACGTCTCTTCTGGAAGCACAGAGCTGGCCCCCCAAACTTGGCCCCCCTGATAGACATCTGCTGCTCTTCCTTCTACACACACATCTGTCCTACAGGCCCTATTCCCAATATAAGCTCCAGTTACAACACACAGCCCTGATGAGTCATGGAAAGGGAATATCTTTCTCTGGGCTGGGATTACAAGAGGGGTTTGTTGGGGAGGCTAACACACTGTTTTACTTGTAAGCTGTCATCTTGATTTCATGCTCAATGTGATGTATGAAATCACTATAACGCAGGGCTACTCAACTTCGGAAGCCCCGGGGGCCAATGATACTCACGGCACATGCCGAGGGCCACAACTTAAGTGTGGCTGTATATTCATGCAAATATATATGCAAATAGCTTCTTTCACACTGATGGGCATGACTACAAAGATTAAGGCAAGACTACACAACACGCAGGCCCCATTTAATTTAGTTCTGCTGATATTAATAAAATGCAACATTTACCAATTTCCACCCATATGACAGCACTTTTAATGAGCCATGACAGTCCAGGAATGTAACTACTAAAATGCATATCAACAGACGACCATTATATTAACCACTTTTTTCTTTTGGCTCCCATGTATTGAGCCCCGCGTAAACCCAAACTGCACCATGGGCCGCATGCAGCCTTCAGGCCGCGTGTTCAGTAGCCCTGCTGCAATGGCTTTTCAGTGCAGAAAAAAGGGAATAGGAATAGAAAAAAAAACAAAAAACAGGCATGAGGTACTGGGATGTCAGGACACTTGCTCCAACTCCTTTTCAGTCACCATTCCCCATGGTGTGAACACAGACACTGCACTGGTGTGCCCATTAGGACTTCATGTCTTTTAAATGTTTATTCTGACACAATGAATAGGCTATGCTGCCAGTCAGGGCCATCCCACAACATTTTGGCACCTGAGGCAGGGAGCTCAAATGACACCCCCATGCTCCCTCGCTTGGGCCAAAACTTTGAAAGATCTCTTGTGCCTTCCTTACTCCAGCACAGCACTCCACCATCTCTGTGCATCTAGAGCAGAAAGAATACATATGCACTAGCAACAGACAAT